AGTGAATCTGATCTTACATTTGACCTTGAGTACAGGTAACATCTGAGTGAATCTGATCTTACATTTGACCTTGAGTACAGGTAACATCTCAGTGAATCTGATCTTACATTTGACCTTGAGTACAGGTAACATCTGAGTGAATTTGATCTTACATTTGACCTTGAGTACAGGTAACATCTGAATGAATCTGATCTTACATTTGACCTTGAGTACAGGTAACATCTGAGTGAATCTGATCTTACATTTGACCTTGAGTACAGGTAACGTCTGAGTGAATCTGATCTTACATTTGACCTTGAGTACAGGTAACATCTCAGTGAATCTGATCTTACATTTAACCTTGAGTACAGGTAACATCTCAGTGAATCTGATCTTACATTTGACCTTGAGTACAGGTAACATCTCAGTGAATCTGATCTTACATTTGACCTTGAGTACAGGTAACATCTCAGTGAATCTGATCTTACATTTGACCTTGAGTACAGGTAACATCTGAGTGAATCTGATCTTACATTTGACCTTGAGTACAGGTAACATCTAAGTGAATCTGGTCTTACATTTGACCTTGAGTACAGGTAACATCTGAGTGAATCTGATCTTACATTTGACCTTGAGTACAGGTAACATCTCAGTGAATCTGATCTTACATTTGACCTTGAGTACAAGTAACGTCTCAGTGAATCTGATCTTACATTTGACCTTGAGTACAGGTAACATCTCAGTGAATCTGATCTTACATTTGACCTTGAGTACAGGTAACATCTCAGTGAATCTGATCTTACATTTGACCTTGAGTACAGGTAACATCTGAGTGAATCTGATCTTACATCTGACCTTGAGTACAGGTAACATCTGAGTGAATCTGATCTTACATTTGACCTTGAGTACAGGTAACATCTCAGTGAATCTGATCTTACATTTGACCTTGAGTACAGGTAACATCTGAGTGAATCTGATCTTACATTTGACCTTGAGTACAGGTAACATCTCAGTGAATCTGATCTTACATTTGACCTTGAGTACAGGTAACATCTCAGTGAATCTGATCTTACATTTGACCTTGAGTACAGGTAACATCTCAGTGAATCTGATCTTACATTTGACCTTGAGTACAGGTAACATCTGAGTGAATCTGATCTTACATTTGACCTTGAGTACAGGTAACATCTGAGTGAATCTGATCTTACATTTGATCTTGAGTACAGGTAACATCTGAGTGAATCTGATCTTACATTTGACCTTGAGTACAGGTAACATCTGAGTGAATCTGATCTTACATTTGACCTTGAGTACAGGTAACATCTGAGTGAATCTGATCTTACATTTGACCTTGAGTACAGGTAACATCTGAGTGAATCTGATCTTACATTTGACCTTGAGTACAGGTAACATCTGAGTGAATCTGATCTTACATTTGACCTTGAGTACAGGTGACATCTGAGTGAATCTGATCTTACATTTGACCTTGAGTACAGGTAACAGAATCTGAGTGAATCTGATCTTACATTTGACCTTGAGTACAGGTAACATCTGAGTGAATCTGATATCACATTTGACCTTGAGTACAGGTAACATCTGAGTGAATCTGATCTTACATTTGACCTTGAGTACAGGTAACATCTCAGTGAATCTGATCTTACATTTGACCTTGAGTACAGGTAACATCTGAGTGAATCAGATCTCACATTTGACCTTGAGTACAGGTAACATCTGAGTGAATCTGATCTCACATTTGACCTTAAGTACAGGTAACATCTCAGTGAATCTGATCTTACATTTGACCTTGAGTACAGGTAACATCTGAGTGAATCTGATCTTACATTTGACCTTGAGTACAGGTAACATCTCAGTGAATCTGATCTTACATTTGACCTTGAGTAAAGGTAACATCTCAGTGAATCTGATCTTACATTTGACCTTGAGTACAGGTAACATCTGAATGAATCTGATCTTACATTTGACCTTGAGTACAGGTAACATCTGAGTGAATCTGATCTTACATTTGACCTTGAGTACAGGTAACATCTCAGTGAATCTGATCTTAACATTTGACCTTGAGTACAGGTAACATCTCAGTGAATCTGATCTTACATTTGACCTTGAGTACAGGTAACATCTGAGTGAATCTGATCTTACATTTGACCTTGAGTACAGGTAACATCTCAGTGAATCTGATCTTACATTTGACCTTGAGTACAGGTAACATCTCAGTGAATCTGATCTTACATTTGACCTTGAGTACAGGTAACATCTCAGTGAATCTGATCTTACATTTGACCTTGAGTACAGGTAACATCTGAGTGAATCTGATCTTACATTTGACCTTGAGTACAGGTAACATCTCAGTGAATCTGATCTTACATTTCCTTGCCTTCAATCCTGCAAAATCATCTATCACATCAAAATCAATGATTTTCCCTATATAGGCCTATTTGTACTCTGTAATTATATACAGTGGACCCTCGGTTATCTGCCGTTCCACTTATCAACCAACTCGGTTATCGCTGGTTTTTTGGCTTCAGGTTATCGGCCATTATTTTGCTTATTGGCCATATTGGACGCGTCCATCCGCCACGTTCTTGAGTCAGTCTGGCTGTGTGTATGGGTGAGAGAGACAGGGAGTGTAGCAGGCAGGGAGGGTGTGTGGGAGGCAGGCAGTGAGTGTAGCAGGCATGCAGGAGGTGTAGCAGGCATGCAGGAGGTGTAGCAGGCATGCAGGGAGTGTAGCAGGCATGCAGGGGGTGTAGCAGGCAGGGAGGGTGTGTGGGAGGCAGGCAGTGAGGGTAGCAGGCATGCAGGAGGTGTAGCAGGCAGGGAGGGTGTGTGGGAGGCAGGCAGTGAGTGTAGCAGGCATGCAGGAGGTGTAGCAGGCATGCAGGGAGTGTAGCAGGCATGCAGGGGGTGTAGCAGGCATGCAGGGAGTGTAGCAGGCATGCAGGGAGTGTAGCAGGCATGCAGGGAGTGTAGCAGGCATGCAGGAGTGTAGCAGGCATGCAGGGAGTGTAGCAGGCATGCAGGGAGTGTAGCAGGCATGCAGGGGGTGTAGCAGGCATGCAGGGGGTGTAGCAGGCATGCAGGGAGTGTAGCAGGCATGCAGGGGGTGTAGCAGGCATGCAGGGAGTGTAGCAGGCATGCAGGGAGTGTAGCAGGCATGCAGGGAGTGTAGCAGGCATGCAGGGAGTGTAGCAGGCATGCAGGGAGTGTAGCAGGCATGCAGGGGGTGTAGCAGGCATGCAGGGGGTGTAGCAGGCATGCAGGGAGTGTAGCAGGCATGCAGGGGGTGTAGCAGGCAGGGAGGGTGTGTGGGAGGCAGGCAGTGAGTGTAGCAGGCAGGCAGGGAGTGTAGCAGGCAGGCAGGGAGTGTAGCAGGCAGGTATAGAGGCAAGGAGTGTAGCAAGCATGCAGGGAATGTAGAGGACAGGGAGGGAGTGTAGCAGCGAGGCAGGGAGTGTAGGAGGCATGCAGAGAGTGTAGCAGGCATGCAGGGAGTGTAGCAGGCAGGGAGGGTGTGTGGGAGGCATGCAGAGAGTGTAGCAGGCATGCAGGGGGTGTAGCAGGCATGCAGGGAGTGTAGCAGACATGCAGGAAGTGTAACAGGCATGGAGGGAGTGTAGCAGGCAGGCAGGGAGTGTAGCAGGCAGGCAGGGAGTGTAGCAGGCAGGCAGAGAGTGTAGCAGGCAGGCAGGGAGTGTAGCAGGCAGGTATAGAGGCAAGGAGTGTAGCAAGCATGCAGGGAATGTAGAGGACAGGGAGGGAGTGTAGCAGGGAGGCAGGGAGTGTAGGAGGCATGCAGAGAGTGTAGCAGGCAGGGATGGAGTGTAGCAGGGAGGCAGGGAGTGTAGCAGGCATGCAGGGGGTGTAGCAGGCATGCAGGGAGTGTAGCAGACATGCAGGAAGTGTAACAGGCATGGAGGGAGTTTAGCAGGCAGGCAGGGAGTGTTGCAGGCAGGCAGGCAGGGAGTGTAGCAGGCAGGCAGGGAGTGTAGCAGGCATGCAGGGAGTATAGCAGGCAGGCAGGGAGTGTAGCAGGCAGGCAGTGAGTGTAGCAGGCAGGTATAGAGGCAAGGAGTGTAGCAAGCATGCAGGGAATGTAGAGGACAGGGAGGGAGTGTAGCAGGGAGGCAGGGAGTGTAGCAGGCATGCAGAGAGTGTAGCAGGCAGGGATGGAGTGTAGCAGGCATGCAGGGGGTGTAGCAGGCATGCAGGGGGTGTAGCAGGCATGCAGGGGGTGTAGCAGGCAGGGATGGAGTGTAGCAGGCATGCAGGGGGTGTAGCAGGCATGCAGGGAGTGTAGCAGGCATGCAGGGGGTGTAGCAGGCATGCAGGGAGTGTAGCAGGCATGCAGGGAGTGTAGCAGGCATGCAGGGAGTGTAGCAGGCATGAAGGGAATGTAGCAGGCATGCAGGGAGTGTAGCAGGCATGCAGGGAGTGTAGCAGGCATGCAGGGAGTGTAGCAGGCATGCAGGGAGTGTAGCAGGCATGCAGGGAGTGTAGCAGGCATGCAGGGAGTGTAGCAGGCATGCAGGGAGTGTAGCAGGCATGCAGGGAGTGTAGCAGGCATGCAGGAGTGTAGCAGACATGCAGGGAGTGTAGCAGGCATGCAGGGAGTGTAGCAGGCATGCAGGGAGTGTAGCAGACATGCAGGGAGTGTAGCAGGCATGCAGGGAGTGTAGCAGACATGCAGGGAGAGGACAGTTTTTATGCAGCAGGAGTGCAGCAACTCTCAAGGTGGTCATAGTGGCAGTAAAAGACAAAGACGGAAGATGGGCAGTAACACCTCGTCGTCGTCTTCCATATTCCAACAAGAGTCTTTAACAAAGTTATGTAATGTTCATTTATTAGTTAAATTAGTGCTTTATATTTCTTTCTCGTTGTTTTGTGTATGTAAAACTTTGGTTAATCTTTCAAAAATTTTTTTTTTTTTTTAATATTTTTGGGTGTCTGGAGCAGATTAATTGTATTTACATTAATTCTTATGGGAAATATTATTTCGATTTTAGGCCGACGAACTGGGCTGTGGTTCGTACGTCAGCTTGCGTGCCACCAGCAGTAACAGCCTGGTTGTTCTAACCCTGATCCACCATGAGGCCTGGTCTCAGACTGGGCCACAGAGGCATTGACCCCCCAAAACCCTTTCCAGGTAAACTGCAAGTAAACCTTCTGGAACGGATTACAGCCAATAACTGAAGGTCCACTGTAGTAGGCTGTACAGAAACAAAGGATTTTTCTCTTATGTTGCTGCAGCACTGTTTTGCATATTAGTGCCACCTTTAGAGGCTCTGTGGTGCCACTCCCTAAATGGTGTCACCCGGGGTGCCCCCCCCCCCTTCCTTACGACACCACTGCCAGTGGGTCTGATATGCTTTCACAAATGCACTAATATTATTTACACCATTTTTACAATAATGCAGTAGTCTGCATACCAGTAAATCTTCTATTTTTTGTGTGAATAAAAATTCAAAATGATAAGCAAGTGTAATATAAGAGGGACCAGGAGATGTGACTAATGAACAGAGAAAATGTTATTTTAGTGCCAGGAATGTCTGCACTATTTATTCTGGACCCTGTTTTGAAATTGACCTTACTTGAATTGTGTGTGAAATTGACCAAATTACCAATTCTGATCACTATATTGGGTAGTTTAAATCAGTAAATGGGCAGTTTATTGTACACAATTGACAAAACAAATGGAGCTCTAGTGTAATAGCTATGAGTTTGGTTAACTGGAACAGTGGAATTGCCTGAAAATAGGGCTCAAAGTGGGCAATATCGGCGATGTGCAAATATTGCCCAGAGTACTAACTTTGCGAGAGAGTAATTCGGTAAGTTTTCCACCTTTTTTTTTTTTTTTGTGTCTTTACCATCCGGAAAAGATTCTCAATAATTTCATAAGAATTTTTTTTTTTTTTTTTTAAATATTTTTTGACAGAATGAGAGCCTAGACTCAGGTCTCGACAGTGAAAGGGTTAAACTGTCATGTTTCTTGGTGGATGAATGACCTACTAACTGACCTGATTTATTGATTTTCTGAATGATTTGACTGATTTACTGACTTCACTGATTTACTGAATGATTGACCTGATTTATTGAATGGCTTGACTGATTTAATGACTGACTTACTGACTTGACTGCCTTACTGGCTTGACTGACCAACTTAACTGATTTACTGACTTGACTGCCTTACTGATTTGACTGACCAACTTGACTGATATACTTCTGAATGACTTGAATGAGTGACCTACTGACTTGAATGAATGACCTACTGAATTGAATGACTACTGACCTACTGACTAACTTGACTGGACTAACTTACTGACTGAACTAGCATCCACCTCAGCCCAGATGGGCCTCAGCATGCCTCTCCACTCCCTCCTTCATAATCATCCACAAACACCAGTAACCACAATTTAACCCTTTGACTGTTTCGGTCGTATATATATGTCTTACGAGCCACCGTGTTTGACGTATATATACAGTGGAACCTCTACTTACGAGTGCATCCACGTGCGAGTTTTTCCAGATACGAGCAGCTGCTCGGTCGATTTTTTGCTTCCAGATGCGAGCAAAATTTCCAGATGCGAGCGGGCCTCAAGGTAGGTTCCTTAACACTGTTGAGGGACTCTTGCTCTTGATCTAGGGAATTGGATCTCAGTTGTTTGTTGGACTATCTTATTGAAACTTGGGCAATGTGTGATGAAAAGATGCTTCTTAACGTACACCAAAAATGAAAGAAATCGGACCATAAATAATGGAGTTCACTTCTCAGCCATTAGCCTCCCCTTAGCGGTATATTTTCGTATGGTTTTTATGGTTGTATTCTCGTTTTATTTTGTCTCATGTGATAGAATGGAAGATATACTACAAAAATAAATATGATTTTAATTTGTTTCACAGTGAAAAGTATCTTGAAACTGAGCTCAAAATAGCAGAAATGTTTGATTCTTTGGCGACAGCAGTGACAGACAACATGAAGCAGCAGTGACAGACAACATGAAGCAGCAGTGACAGACAACATGAAGCAGCAGTGACAGACAACATGAAGCAGCAGTGACAGACAACATGAAGCAGCAGTGACAGACAACATGAAGCAGCAGTGACAGACAACATGATGCAGCAGTGACAGACAACATGAAGCAGCAGTGACAGACAACATGAAGCAGCAGTGGCAGACAACATGATGCAGCAGTGACAGACAACATGAAGCAGCAGTGACAGACAACATGATGCAGCAGTGACAGACAACATGAAGCAGCAGTGACAGACAACATGAAGCAGCAGTGACAGACATGAAGCAGCAGTGACAGACAACATGAAGCAGCAGTGACAGACAATATGAAGCAGCAGTGACAGACAATATGAAGCAGCAGTGACAGACAACGTGAAGCAGCAGTGACAGACAACATGAAGCAGCAGTGACAGACAACATGAGGTAGCAGTGACAGACAACATGAAGCAGCAGTGACAGACAACATGAAGCAGCAGTGACAGACAACATGAAGCAGCAGTGACAGACAATATGAAGCAGCAGTGACAGACATGAAGCAGCAGTGACAGACAACATGAAGCAGCAGTGACAGACAACATGAAGCAGCAGTGACAGACAACATGAAGCAGCAGTGACAGACAACATGAAGCAGCAGTGACAGACAACATGAAGCAGCAGTGACAGACAACATGAAGCAGCAGTGACAGACAACATGAAGCAGCAGTGACAGACAACATGAAGCAGCAGTGACAGACAACATGAAGCAGCAGTGACAGACAACATGAAGCAGCAGTGACAGACAATATGAAGCAGCAGTGACAGACAACATGAAGCAGCAGTGACAGACAACATGAAGCAGCAGTGACAGACAACATGAAGCAGCAGTGACAGACAACATGAAGCAGCAGTGACAGACAACATGAAGCAGCAGTGACAGACAACATGAAGCAGCAGTGGCACAGTGTAGCATTTATAAGTCACAATGTCTGACTTTCTTGGGTTATCCTAGTTTCTGTACACATGTAGTCAGAAGCAGGAATGGCCGCTGTGGTGGCCCTATAAACCCCAACAACAATGGCTGCTGTGGTGGCCCTATAAACCCCAACAACAATGGCTGCTGTGGTGGCCCTATAAACCCCAACAACAATGGCTGCTGTGGTGGCCCTATAAACCCCAACAACAATGGCTGCTGTGGTGGCCCTATAAACCCCAACAACAATGGCTGCTGTGGTGGCCCTATAAACCCCAACAACAATGGCCGCTGTGGTGGCCCTATAAACCCCAACAACAATGGCCGTTGTGGTGGCCCTATAAACCCCAACAACAATGGCCGCTGTGGTGGCCCTATAAACCCCAACAACAATGGCCGCTGTGGTGGCCCTATAAACCCCAACAACAATGGCTGCTGTGGTGGCCCTATAAACCCCAACAACAATGGCTGCTGTGGTGGCCCTATAAACCCCAACAACAATGGCCGCTGTGGTGGCCCTATAAACCCCAACAACAATGGCCGCTGTGGTGGCCCTATAAACCCCAACAACAATGGCCACTGTGGTGGCCCTATAAACCCCAACAACAATGGCTGCTGTGGTGGCCCTATAAACCCCAACAACAATGGCTGCTGTGGTGGCCCTATAAACCCCAACAACAATGGCTGCTGTGGTGGCCCTATAAACCCCAACAACAATGGCCGCTGTGGTGGCCCTATAAACCCCAACAACAATGGCTGCTGTGGTGGCCCTATAAACCCCAACAACAATGGCCGCTGTGGTGGCCCTATAAACCCCAACAACAATGGCCGTTGTGGTGGCCCTATAAACCCCAACAACAATGGCTGCTGTGGTGGCCCTATAAACCCTAACAACAATGGCTGCTGTGGTGGCCCTATAAACCCCAACAACAATGGCCGCTGTGGTGGCCCTATAAACCCCAACAACAATGGCCGTTGTGGTGGCCCTATAAACCCCAACAACAATGGCTGCTGTGGTGGCCCTATAAACCCCAACAACAATGGCCGCTGTGGTGGCCCTATAAACCCCAACAACAATGGCCGCTGTGGTGGCCTTATAAACCCCAACAACAATGGCTGCTGTGGTGGCCCTATAAACCCCAACAACAATGGCTGCTGTGGTGGCCCTATAAACCCCAACAACAATGGCTGCTGTGGTGGCCCTATAAACCCCAACAACAATGGCTGCTGTGGTGGCCCTATAAACCCCAACAACAATGGCTGCTGTGGTGGCCCTATAAACCCCAACAACAATGGCCGCTGTGGTGGCCCTATAAACCCCAACAACAATGGCTGCTGTGGTGGCCCTATAAACCCCAACAACAATGGCCGCTGTGGTGGCCCTATAAACCCCAACAACAATGGCCGCTGTGGTGGCCTTATAAACCCCAACAACAATGGCCGCTGTGGTGGCCCTATAAACCCCAACAACAATGGCCGCTGTGGTGGCCCTATAAACCCCAACAACAATGGCTGCTGTGGTGGCCCTATAAACCCCAACAACAATGGCCGCTGTGGTGGCCCTATAAACCCCAACAACAATGGCCGTTGTGGTGGCCCTATAAACCCCAACAACAATGGCTGCTGTGGTGGCCCTATAAACCCCAACAACAATGGCCGCTGTGGTGGCCTTATAAACCCCAACAACAATGGCTGCTGTGGTGGCCCTATAAACCCCAACAACAATGGCTGCTGTGGTGGCCCTATAAACCCCAACAACAATGGCCGCTGTGGTGGCCCTATAAACCCCAACAACAATGGCCGCTGTGGTGGCCTTATAAACCCCAACAACAATGGCTGCTGTGGTGGCCCTATAAACCCCAACAACAATGGCTGCTGTCACCACCACTAGCCACATACCTAATGACATGTATTTTATTCATTCTAATGTACATATCATGTTTCTATGTTATTAACATTGTTCATTATGTCATATTACATGAACTGTGATAGATAAATAAGCTGCAGAGTTGACATTAGGTAAATTATTAAAGTATTTTCTCATGCCTGGAATTCCACTGGAACGAATTAATTCCATTTCAATTAATTTAAACGAGGAAAATTGACTCTGCAAACGAGCAAATCCAATTGCGAGCAAGGTCATGGAATGGATTAAACTCGTAGGTAGAGGTTCCACTGTACAGTGGACCCCCGCATAACGATATTAATCCATTCTTGAGAGCTCATTGTTATGCGAAATTATCGTTATGCGAATAAATTTTCCCCATAAGAAATAATGGAAATCAAATTAATCCATGCAAGACACCCCAAAGTATGAAAAAAAAAATTTTACCACATGAAATATTAATTTTAATACACACAAACTGAAAAAGGCATGCACAATTACATGACACTTACTTTTATTGAAGATCTGGTGATGATTGATGGGATGGGAGGAGGGGAGAGAGAGTGTTAGTGTTTAGAAGGGGAATCCCCTTCCATTAAAACTTGAGGTAGCAAGTCCTTTTCTGGGGTTACTTCCCTTCTTCTTTTAATGCCACTAGGACCAGCTTCAGAGTCACTGGACTTCTGTCGCACAACATATCTGTCCATAGTGGCCTGTACCTCTCGTTCCTTTATGATTTGTCCAAAGTGTTTCACAACAATGTCAGTGTAATAGTCACCAGCACGGCTTGCAGTAGCAGTGTCAGGGTGATTGTCATCAAAAAAGGTTTGCACTTTAAGCCACATTCCACACATTTCCTTAATCTTTGAAGTAGGCAACTTCTTCAATTTCTCTCTCCCCTCCTCCGAAGCAGTTTCCTCAGGTCTGGCCTCTTGTTGTTGAAAGTTGATCTATCAGCTCATCAGTGGTTAGTTCTTCATTGTCCTCCTCCACCAACTCTTCCACATCATCC